GCATCCGACGCGGACAAGAACGCTGCGGCAATTAATGAGCCATCACCGCACCAATTAAGACCTCAAACGGTAGCTAAAGGAACTGACAATAATAGTTGGCATTCGGGTGACCGCTATGAACTATAAATACCGTGCAATTTGTGCATGTACCACCCTTATCTGCGCATGCCTCAGACTTGTTTACGATTATCTATGATTAAGGATTCCCGTGAGGATCCGAAACGTCAGGGCAATAAACCTCTTGTTCAAGTGATCGCTTGTTCTTCTGAACTGTTTCCTAGAACTCGCATATTCAATTCTATTGGCAACGAAGCTACTGTTGCCTGCGACAATAGTGAACTCGAAGATATACTGGTGCCAAGCTTTAACACCGCTCCCTTTACAGTGTGCCTAATGCGGTCAGATGCAAGGTTAACCGCTAATGGCCCTTAGAGTTCATCTTTGGAAATCGGGATCCGGGAATAAGCAACTTTATAGCGAAGACAGTGAACGAGGACAGTGCACCTGAAACACTCGAAAGCAAACTAGACAAGTCTGGTTGCTCTGAAGCTAATACCACAAGGCATTGTTATAACAAGACGTCCTGTTGAAGTAATGACACGGTTTCCTGCAGCAAACAGTATACACCAGCCCTTCCAAAAAGTAGATTGCGAGTGCTTCAGGTATCCCTGTTTCCTTAACCCATTTACTGAACATTTATAAAGGCATCCTGCCCATTGGAAGCGCCAAAAGGCCCCTTGGCCGTCGATTCTTATATTGTGCTATTGCACTTTCCAAATATTTGCATATAATCAGCCGCTTTGACGAAAGGGGCAAACAGACACAAATTTTTCTTACCATGGTTAAGATACTTCCCTCGACGACCATCAGAAAGATCAAGTTTTTGTCTCCTTTCTGATCGATTTTAAGCGTCTTGCCTTCCATTGTTAAGACCATTTACAAGGAATAGGAGGAGAGAATCTTCGTCATAATATCCTTCTGATATACTGCATTATGATACCTTTGTGCCACTAAAGAAGATATTTGAGTAAACATTAATCTTAACAAAAGTGGAGAGTTTGAAAACTTTTGCTCATATAAAGGTATACATGCAAATAGTATGCATATATTACAATATATCACGCACCAGTGCGTTATCGAAGATATCGAAAGCATCATGTCATAGCTCCAAAAAGCAGTCAATTCGTTCATGGTCCTCTCATTTCAATGCATAAAATTATCCAGAGTCCCGGTCCTGAATTCTATCATCTTCGTTATTGTGAACAGTGATTTTCAGCTGATCGTCGAACGATATCAGAAACAATGTTCAAGCTGCTCCCGCCCAATTTTCATCAGTTTGCTGGACTGTAACAGTAGATAGCGTCATCACGTTACTCTACCAAATACTTCTTTAACGTAATGTCTCAAATGATAAATCACTCTACCTCAATTAACATCGAATGGGACACTATGGCGTATAAAAAATGGGGAAAGTTTATTGGGTGCTATGAAAGGAGTTTCAAATATGTAGCACTTCCTAGTCGCGCGACATTAGCCTGTACCCTGAATGAGGTACCTTACCGAAGCATTATACTGCAGAAGATAACTCAGCAAACAATCACTTAAAAAGGATGCACGAAAACGCGAAAGCATATCTTGCCTTGATGTGTCGGCCATCCATTGTATCGTGGTCGAACGCCTCACCTAGCTTGAACTTTGTATCCTGCGTGTGGCCGCCCGTGGTTACGCTCACTTTGTAGCTGTCGTTACCGTCGCTTGAGAAGGCCATGACGGACTTGGACATCTGTTCCAGTCGCTCCTTGGGTATGGTAGCCCCCATTTTTGTAACAATGGCATTCA